ACATACAAACTTGTTTCAAAATATTTGAAATTAACTGTGTATCTAATTGCGCTTCGTAGCTTTTTTTCTCTCCATTTCGTATCAGACTAGAACTAAAAACAAAATCAAGTTATCACGCCAGCAAAAAATGTTCTGCAATTTCCCCTTTTACTTTCAAATTTTGTCCTTCTCCTTTCGCCAGCAGACCCTTGATACAATTTATTTGCGTCTAATTTCTTGTTCACAATACGACGAAAAAATACTTCCGTATCAAGTAAGCTTTGATTTAAAAGGAAAATTATTCAATTTTTGTTCTTACGATTCTCTTGAACAATTAAAAATTCTCCTTTGGTGATGACAATTAGTTTCCAATAATGAAGTAAACAAGATAATTTATTAATCGAGATGGAAAATGAAGGGATGGGTCGTCAAAGCTTATCAACGGTTGATGAAAAGTTTACAATTGTTCTAGGAGAGGCTTCGTCTTTACCAACTCTGACACGTATTTCAAACTATCTAACATTGCCTCGTGCTTAATATCGCACACTGAGGAATGAATAAGTTGTTAAGAACACACCTGCGTGCTACGACAGATTCGGACTTGTATTAGGCCTCGTTTACGTGCCGGATTATGTTTCTTTCGACGTTCTACATATATGTAAATACCCGCAGTAGAATAAGTTTAATTTAAATTCAAATTAGCGTTAAAAGTTAATTCCCTTAACAAACAAAAAGACGTCGGGTATATTTTTGTTTGACGATATAATAAGGAAACTCTCTTTTGTCAGTTTGTGAGAGACAGAATAAGCAGTCTATTTAGATGTAATGTAATTATTTTGGATGATGATTAATTGGAGAAATAATCCCTGTATGGTGGTAGATTATAAATTTCAAAAAGCTTGGTCGACTTTATTCTGTATTCATTTCTTCTTTCTTTCATGATTGCAACGAGAAACATATTTCGTTAAAACAGCAATTGTACAACGACGATCACTGAAACCCTATTTCCTATATGAATTTTCTAAAAACTTCCTCATTAATCTTTACTCGTTTGAAATACTTTAGAAGATCGTCTGTTGTGTCAAAAAAGCCTTTTTTGTGTCCAACTTGTCATGTACATCACGTGTGAAATAGGAATAAGAGGCAAATATTTAGAGACATCTCTAAGATTATTTTTTCTGTTGCAACAAACAATCCCGCTTTACTTAGCCTGCCATAAGGCACTCACTATTAAGGTTTCAATATGAGGTACTTCGCCCATCAATACATTTGAGGCCTTAAGAAACACGACTCGTGGGCGAAGGAACGCAGTCAGGCAGTGCTAATAATGGGAACCTGGAACCATCGAAGGCCGATGTTTATGCGACCTAGTTTCATTGATAGGGTGTCAATCAAATGTCCATATCATTTGTGTAAGGTTGAGCCCTAAATCATTATCAGCCTCAGCAAGCTGAAAATAGAGAAAGTTTAAGCTAAGGGTGTCAAATCCATGACAGACAGTCCAGCAATTTAAATGCATATAGCGATTCAAAATTAATGTAAGGCCACAGATGCAAACTTAATCTAGGATATTTGAATTTAACTGGGTAATTAATAACATTTTGTGGCTCTTTTATCTCCGTTTCGTCTCCGACAAAACAAGAAACGTGAATATGAAAACAATCTTCACAGTAATGAACACTTCTTGAGCAGTAGCGAAAAAAGGGCCTAAAAAGAATTTAGGCCTACACGGGATTTGAACCAATGACCTTTGCGATATCGATGCAGTGCTCTACCAACTGAGCTAACAAGCTGTGAGTTCGATATTATATAGCCCGTGAAGTGATGAATAAATGACTGTGAATACTTGAAAATCATATATGTGAAATGCAGACAAAGACTAGCTCCCTGAAAAACCAGACGAAAGATTTAATCGCTAATAGATGCGTCAATCCCTCCCTTAACACGAGTTCTTCCCAGGGAATTTTCTTTCTGGTCCTCTTTAATAATTCAGCACAGCGAAGGAAGTATGAAAATTAATTAAACAAGAACATGTTCCCTTGGCAAACACAAAGACATGGACTATGTTGGTTTGATTTCAGAACATCGATCGATCTGTAAAAAAAATCTGTCACAAACAGAGATGGTCAATTTTATTTCATATAGTTTCGTAACCTTCAGTTGAATATACAAGTAACAAAAACTTCTTCACATAAGGTTTGCGGATAATTTTCTGATCACAAAACAAACAAATTCAAGACTTAAACTGGACTGTCTCTTTTGGCACTATGGCGTCAATATCGACGTCAAGTGCTTTCTTTTAAATATCGGGAAACTACTTGGAATAGTTTTATCGTAACACACAACACCGGCCTCAAACAAATCGAAGTTTTATCTGATGCCTTGATATCAGTAAGAGGAGAAAACATGAAAGTAAAATGTTTGCATACATTTTCTTCGATTATGACTTCTTGTATTTTGGCATAGCGGCAAGAAACCTTCTTTTTGAAAACACATTGCTAGGGTTATCTGATCTGTCGTTAAATTGTTCTCAGAGATATAAAGACTATCAAAAACAGCTGGCGCAATTATTCTATTGAGCCTCTTATTTTTTTTTATCCAATAGCTTATTTAACAACTGCGCTCTAATAATAATCATGACTTAATGAGTCTGCTTTGAAAGTCTGAAGAACAACTCAAGAAAGACCTATTTCAGCAAAGTGCTTCCTTTAGTGTCTGCTTCACTGCTTGTCTCACTTCACTAATCTTCCAGCAGTATAGGAACGGGTTTAACGTCGAGTTAAAGTAAAGTAAAATAACGGCTACTTTCCGTGTGACGACTAAGAGTAATGAATATTTTTTAGTATGAGCGATCACAATTTCCACTGTATATATTGGTGCAAAACAAACAACTAATGCTAACTGCACCCACAGTGCACTGTACACTGCCTTTCTGAATCGCGCCATTTTCAGTGTATTTGTTTGGCTCGTCGGCTGTTGATCACGCACTTGCGCTTGATGATATCTGAGAATGCAAAAAATATTTTCGTACGATGCGAGTGATATTACCTAGCAAAATGATACAACTAGGGAGCTGTACAGAAAGATTATAGGGTGATGAAAAAATCCGCTTAAAGAGGCGACAAGGTTAAAAACCCAGAAGGTAGTTAAAATAATATACGTGCGCTTCAAAGTTACAATTTGTTTGTATCTCTGTCCCAACATCAGGGCGAGAAGTCTGTCCACACTCATGGCCGTCATCGTCATCAGAGTCACTAAAAGCAATACATAGGCTATGGTTTTGGTTGCGTCAAATGCGTAGCGACAAAGGCTCCAGTTTTCTTGAAACACGGACACCCAATAGAGAGCATTGAGAGGCTGGGGAACAAGCCCAACCAACAGATCAGTGGTTGCCAGACAACGATACAGGAGTTTGGACGGCGAATGTAGGGAAGATTCTTTGCAAAGGGCAACGAGGATGAGAGAATTCCCAGCAAATGCCGTAATGGAGAGGAAAATGTCAACCGCTACGAAGAAAATCGATAGTTGTTGTTGAAGCCCACCCACCAAAGAGGGAGAGCGTAACAGTTCTTGCAATGATTTCGTGTGACTTCCACCGCTACTGAAATTTGTTGTGGACATAATTCTGTCTTCGGCGTTTCCCTTGCTTCCTAACTGACAATCGCATAAAAAATTTTCTGTTGGGTCAAAAAAATTATTTTTCCCGAGAACCTTTGGGTGCCTCTGTTATGAAATAGCAATTAAAGGCAAATATAGAAACATCTGTCATTTCAATGTTTTTACAGTGCGGCAAAGAGTCGCTCTTTATCAGAATTAAATTCCATCATAATGGATGCTAAGCAACGGTCCATATCTTTTGCCTTATGTTAAGACTTGAATTATTATCAGTGATGCAAAGTTAAAACTGCAAAAGCTCAAGCTGGCGATGTCAATTGTTGTAGGAGAAAAATTGAATTCGTGACAATCACCGAATGTACTACGTAGACTACACAACTATTTAAAATTAATGTACAGCCACACATACAAACTTGTTTCAAAATATTTGAAATTAAATGTTTATCTAATTGCGCTTTTCTCTCCGTTTCGTATCCGAATAGAACCAAAAACAAAATAGTAACAAGATCAAGTTATTACGCCAGCAAACAATTTTCTGCAATTTCCTCTTTCACTTCAACTGTTGTCCTTCTTCTTTGGCCAGCAAATTTATATTGATTATCCCGGATAATGACGAACGAAAGATGGCCTTCTAGAACCTATCTGCAATTTGTTTGCTTCTAATGTCTTGTTCAAAATATGACGAGAAAATAATTTATTTCCATATCAAGTAAGTTTACATGTAAAGGGAAGTTATTCGGTTGTTGTTCAGGCGATACTCTTTGAAACTGCAATAAACCTGCAAGACTCCTGGCCTTGAATTATAACACCACAAACCAAATAAAAAGAAAAAGATTTATTGGAGTCGACGTGCTTGGTAAGAGTGTGGGTTGAAACTAAAACGGTAAAAAAAAAAAAGCAAAAAAGTTACAAGGTAAATTAGAGTAAAGAAATAACAAAATTGCAAAACGAGGACTGTGAAGTACACTTACATTGTTTTGGCCAGAGAAAACTTCTGAAAAGAGGACTGCGAAAAACGCGAAGAGGCTAGAAACAAACTGAACAGAACTGCGCTAAGCGCGGACCAAACTGAACTCACAAACTGTACTGACAAATTACGATATGAAAATACGCTAGAACATGCAGAAAATAAAACTATAGAAAGGCGCTAATGAGGATGAAACAGCACGGAAACGCTAACGAGGGCACGAAAACTAACAGAAAGAGATAAACACCTAAATTAACACCAAAAAAAAAGACTAAACAAATGGACGAAAAAATGTTACACTTGGATCTTACATACCGGCCCCATAAGTGAGGAGCACACGCGAGGCACTTAAATTAAACAATTAAAGATCTAAGTGTTCTTAATGTTCTCTTCTCCTGAATTCAGAAAATTGCACAGAAAATAACTCCAAAGGGAAAGTTCAAGCTTCTATCAGCAAGCAAAGCTTGTCAATTGGCCTCTCCAAAACTGCTCCTTTTACTTTCACTCTGGTACGGCGCACCAAACCTTTCTTGTCTGCGAAGACTTCTACCACTCTACCAAGGGGCCATGAATTGCGAGGGGAATTTTCGGCGCTCACTAGAACAATATCCCCAACGGCCAGGTTCTTGCGAATCGTCGTCCATTTCTGCCTACTTTGGAGCAGAGGCAAGTACTCCTTAGACCATCTCTTCCAAAAAATATCTGCGAGATATTGCACTTGTCTCCATCTGCGTCGAGAGAAGGAGTCTTCCTTTTGGAATAACCCAGGGGGCATCTGAGGTTCCGAGCGTAAAAGAAGCAAATGGTTTGGTGTAAGGGGCTCCGGATCATTGGGGTCACCTGAAACTGTGGTGATTGGACGACCATTAATGATGCTTTCCACTTCGCATAGGAGGGTGACTAAACCTTCGTCGTCAACAGTTTGAGTTTGAAGCAAAGCTCGAAGGACCTTGCGCGTTGTTCGAATGCAGCGCTCCCAAACACCTCCATAATGGGAGCCATAGGGGGGGTTGAAGTTCCACTTGATACCCTTCTGAAGTAGAGCTTCGTGAATCTTGTTGTGATTCCACGCGTTGATGGATTCCCTGAGCTCCCTCTCTCCGCCGGTGAAATTGGTACCATTATCGGATCTGATCTCCTTTACCTGGCCCCTTCTTGCTATAAACCTTCTGAGCGCCATCAGGAAAGAATCAGTTTCCAAACTGTGCGCCACTTCAATGTGAACCGCGCGGATAGAAAGACACGTGAAAATGACCCCATATCTTTTCACAAGACTTCGCCCACGGCGTACCTGAAGAGGACCAAAACAATCAATGCCGACAGATGTAAAAGGTGGCTGACCTGGGGTAACACGATCCACGGGAAGGTCAGCCATTTTCTGCTCACAGAACGGGCCTTGACGCCGCCGGCAACTGAAACATTTCGAAAGAACTTTCCTGACAACAGAACTTGCGTTTACGATCCAAAACTTCTCGCGAGCAAGACTGATAACGTACTCTCTTCCAGAGTGACCGGAGATCTGGTGGTAATATTCTACTACAAGGTTGGTCACGTGATCCTTCTTGGGCAAAATAATCTGATGTTTGGCCTCAAATGCAGTGGACGCTAAACTTAACCTCCCACCGACACGTAAGACGCCGTTCACTAAGATTGGATCCAGACTTCGAAGGCTGCTGCTTTTCTTGACTTGCGTACCGTTTTCAGACTTGCTTAACAGCTCAAGCTCATCCGGAAAATTGAACTGCTGGACGTTCCTGAGGATTTCTAGCTCCGCAATTGCCAACTCCGTAACGGTAATTGGTGGTAAAGAAAGGATGGGAGTTGAAAGGATCGGCTCTCTCGATTTTCCGCGTTTACTTGACCTTTTCAAGTTTCCAAGGTATCGTAAAAACCATGCAACTGACTTCTTCAATCGGTGCCAGGAAGACGCGCGTTGAAAGTACTCAACCAAAGGATGCTCCGACTCGGAAACAGAAGTGTGACAAACCTTATAAACCATCTTCACTTCCGGGTCTCCGTCTTGAAGACATCCAAGGGATAAGGGGTTCCTAGGCCAATCTTCTTCTGACTTCCAAAGAAACTCCGGCCCCAGTAACCATCTTTGGCAGCTCAACAATGCTTTGGCAGTCAGCGCTCTTGAAGCGCAATCTCCAGGATTTGCTACACCTTCCACATAGCGCCACTGATCTGGACTTGAGCCCTCTCGTAGTACGGCAACCCGATTGGCAACAAACGTGTGGAAACGCGTACTTTCGTTCTTCACATAACGAAGCACTGACATGCTGTCTGACCAAAACACGGATTCACAATTAGGAGGCATCTCCAGCTCTTCCTTGAGCATCTTGTCTTGTCGCACAGAAACGGTTGCGGCCGAGAGCTCTAAACGAGGAACAGAGATAGTTTTCAAAGGAGCAACGCGTGATTTTCCAAACAGGAAGGAACAATGAACTCGGTCCTCATGGCTAAGCAGTCGAAGGTAAGTCACTGAGCCATAAGCTGCTTCTGAGGCATCAGAGAAGTGATGTAGCTGACTGGATTTAACGGGACCAAAATCCTCTGGCTTTAAACAGCGACTCACAGCAAACTCCGAGAGCTTTGGAACATCTGCTAGCCAATTTTCCCAACGTGCAGCGTACTCAGTCGGGATCTCGTCATCCCATCCTAGCTTAATGCGACAAAGATCTTGAAGGATTTCCTTCGCGGTCAGAACGAACGGTGCCAGGAATCCCAACGGATCGAAAATAGCACTCGCTAGAGACAAGATACCCCTACGCGTTTGTGGACGGGAGCTAATGTTGACTCTGAAGCGGAACGAGTCGGATTCTACACACCATTGAACTCCCAGGGCTCGCTGAACAGGCAACTCTTCCTTCCTTATGTCCATGTCCTTGATGTCCTTTGCTCGCTCCTTCTCAGGGATAGCTTGCAGAACATCACGACTATTGCTGACCCATTTGGTTAGCTTGAAACCACCACGTGATAGTAAACTGCATAAACTGCCAACATGCTCAATGGCTTTCTGCTCGCCAGGGAGGGACTTCAAACAATCATCAACATAAAAGTTTCTTTTAACTGTGTTAATGACGTCAGGAGGGAAGCTGTGACGATTATCTTCTGCTGTCTTGCGGAGTGCGAGGTTTGCGCAAGCCGGTGATGAAATGGCTCCAAACAAGTGAACGACCATCTGAAATTCTTGTAATTCGCGCGCCATGTTGCCATCCTCCCACCAAAGAAAACGCAGAAAGGAACTGTCAGGATCGGGAACTCTCACTTGGTGGAACATGGACTCTATGTCCGCCATGACGGCCACTCTCTCTTCACGAAACCTCAACAGGACTCCTACAAGCGAACTAGTTAGGTCCGGGCCCTTGTACAGCATGTCATTGAGGGACTTTCCCATGAATTTGGCCGAACAGTCAAACACGACGCGGATCTTTCCTGGCTTGCGAGGGTGGTAAACACCATGGTGCGGTATGTACCAGGCGGTGCCCTTCGCGGGGCTATTCTGATCAGGGGACACTTTGCGTGCATATCCTTTGGAGAGAATGTCTTCCATAAAGGCCTTATAATCTTGGTACAACTTCGGGTCTCTTTCCAGCCTTTTCTTCAACCAAATGGCGCGCTGCCAGGCCTGAGCCTTGTTGCTGGGTACAGGCGTTTAGCGATCCTTAAAAGGTAAAGAGATTTGATAGTGCCCATTTCTCAACTCCACCGTCTGTTCGGCGATTTGCATAAATCTACGTTCGTCTTGAGACATCTCTGTCTTGCTATCAGCGGTGGGATCGGTAAAATCGCGGTTGTAGAAGTCTTCTATCATCTGTTGGAGCCGGTGATCGACTTTAGCAACAAAAGTGGATGACCGTGAACTATGGTGACGACGGCCTAAGGGACCATTTACCGCCCAGCCGATTCGAGTTCTTGAAGCATAAGGACCACCGTCTTGACTGTGTTTGATATCAAGTGGATCGAGAGCCTTGGGAACGTCACTAGCAATCAAAAGGCCAACCTCAGCGTCGAGACGAGGCAGAAAAACTCCTTGCAAGTGGGGCCACTGATCAACGTCATCTTGAGTTGGAATGTCGCTGCTGGACACAGGAATCTCCGGCCTGGTATAAAGGGTCGGGAGGCTAATCCACTCGTTCTCGTCCAAATCGGATACAAGAAGGTCGCGAACCAGGAAGCTGTTGGTGATGCTATTTTTCTTCTCAAGGGTAGACAGGGATATCTTAACTTGCTGACCATTAATCCCGAGCTGCTTCATGAGCGATTCAGTACAGAAACTGGAGTTGCTACCGTTATCCAGGAAGGCGTAGGTGATGACGCTCTTATCACTATCTTTCGCTCTTACTCTAACTGGTATTACGGCCATGCCTGTCCTACGACCCTCTCCTGAAGTCTCACTGTTGGCACTGGTGCCCGTTTTTACCATGTGACTGCAAACTTGAGTGCTGATTACGTCTTCCGTACCCACTCCAACGTCGACAGCTGGTCTCTCACGAGGGCTTGTATGTAAAACAGTAGGATGCCGTCCTTTACAGTTCGCAATCTTGCAATTTTTCCTCTGCGGGCAAAACTTTGCGACATGTTCGGTGGATAAACATCCAAAGCACAGCTTTTTGGACAACAGGAATTGAATTCTCTCTTGGTAGGGTTTCCACCGCAATGATTGACAATCCTCAAGGGCGTGGTTTCTGCTACAATAGAGACACCGATTTTTCCCTTGTGAGGGACCCTGATCGATTCCAGTTGGCTGAACCTTGCGAGTCTGAGGTCTCTGCTCTCCATCGGCGCGTTGACATGGCTCCTTTACACCCTGCGGAACAGTTTCACTGGTATGACCTTCACTATCGCCTACATGTGCTAAGAGACTGAGATTCTTGGGATTGGATGTCTTGCCACCATAGGACCGCTGACCAGGCGCCGATCTTACGGTATCGGATATCTTGCCAAAGACTGGGTTGGTTAGTATTCGTGCTTCGCGATCTACAAAGGCGACGAAGTCACTAAACTGTACTGGCCTTAACTGTCTGTCCATGATGTCATCAGCTAAGCGACGCCATCTTTCTCTCATGCTGTAAGGAATCTTGAGCACCAACTTTTGAATGTTTCCTGGCTGATCAAACTTAGAAATGTACTGGCTACCTGCCAATGCGTTCTTGCAACTTGCGAGAAAGACTGAGAAACGATTCAAAGCCACACCATCTTCTGCCTTTATGCTCGGCCAGTCGAGGGCCTTCATCTCGTAAGCGGATGCTATGCGATAATCGTCACCATACTTCCTTTTCAAAAGCCTACGAGCCTCATCGTAACCTTCTTCCGCTGGTAAATGATGACAGGATCTTACAAGTTCCTTAACGTCCCCTGCGGTGAACTGCTCGAGGTAATAGAGTCTATCAGTACTGCTAAATGTTCTGGATTCAACCAAATTTTCAAAAGCGCGAACGAAAGTGCGGTACTCAATAGGGTTTCCGTCAAACACAGGGACACGGGGCTGCGGAAGTTTGTTCCTATTCTGATTATGCGCTAGCAATTCCATCATTCTGTTCTGCTGAAACTGAAGAGCAGCCTGTTGCCGCTGCAAACCAATCGTTTCCTTTCTCAGATCCTCACCGACTGTACAGGCTTGATAATCAAACTGGCCGTAAGGAACAGAATCCATAGACACGCCCTGGCCTGGGTGGTGCACCTCGCCTGGAAAAGACCTTTTCGCGCGGGGGCTGGTACGAGGGGGTTCCTGATCCTGGAGCTCTGTCTCCAATTTTAAAGGCTTCACCTCCGGTAGAGAAGGGGGGGTCATTGCTGCGTAGACCCTCTCCTTAGCTGTTGTCTTGATCATTTCGGCTTCGAGGTTAAGGCGTAATTCTTCCTGCTGTAAACGAAACTTTTTCTCTTCGAGTGTTTGGCGCTTTTCGAGCATAGAAATTTCAGCTTTTAACTCGGCAATTCTTGCGGCTTCTTTGGCTCTCGCGGCTGCAACTGATGAAGCACGATCACCACGTGAACTTGCTCGACTTGAATGTTTTGAAACCTTGGAAGCACCTGAAGGAATTGGTGTGCCAGCACAACTAATTGAATCCTCGGGATTCACTGCCGAACCCACCCGAAGCGACTCTGCTAATAGCTTGTATTCAATATTAATTATCCATTCGATGATCTCCTGACGGAACACACGAACCTTTCTCTCCTTGTCTTCAAGATAGCGTTGCTCCTCAATAATGGCGTTCTCATCCAGAATTTCTTCGACGTAATCGCGATGGGCCTCTTTGAATCTTTCAAAAGCGTTGTCCAAGTAAGGAAGCTTCCCTTTAACCTCCTGAAGATTATGATCATCAGTAAGCAAGCCAGAAATTTCATTGGAAATGGCGGTTACGGTAGATAGGTGACCAGACCTTGAATTTTTCTTGAAACGAAGTGTTTCCAGGTTAGACGCTTCAAAATCCAGCGAACGGTTTGGTTGTCGTACGCGTGTTCCAACTCGCCGAGCGACGGGATCTGTAAGCTGCTTGCGGCTAAAGCTCATGACGAAACGACATGTCACAAAACAATTTTCAACGATGAAACTGCAATAAACCTGCAAGACTCCTGGCCTTGAATTATAACACCACAAACCAAATAAAAAGAAAAAGATTTATTGGAGTCGACGTGCTTGGTAAGAGTGTGGGTTGAAACTAAAACGGTAAAAAAAAAAAAGCAAAAAAGTTACAAGGTAAATTAGAGTAAAGAAATAACAAAATTGCAAAACGAGGACTGTGAAGTACACTTACATTGTTTTGGCCAGAGAAAACTTCTGAAAAGAGGACTGCGAAAAACGCGAAGAGGCTAGAAACAAACTGAACAGAACTGCGCTAAGCGCGGACCAAACTGAACTCACAAACTGTACTGACAAATTACGATATGAAAATACGCTAGAACATGCAGAAAATAAAACTATAGAAAGGCGCTAATGAGGATGAAACAGCACGGAAACGCTAACGAGGGCACGAAAACTAACAGAAAGAGATAAACACCTAAATTAACACCAAAAAAAAAAAGACTAAACAAATGGACGAAAAAATGTTACACTTGGATCTTACACTCTTGAGCAATTAACAATTCTCCTTTGGTCATGACAATTAGTTTCCAATAATAAAGTAAACAGGGTAATTTTGTTATCGAGATGGAGAATAAGAGAATTGCCGGTTTATTTAGATATACTGTCATTATTTTGTGATGATGATCACTTGGAGAAATATTCCTTGTATGGTGGTAGATTATGAATTGCAAAAAGCTGGGTCGACTTTATTCTGTTTTCGTTTCTCGTTTCTTGTCATGATTGCAGCGAGAAAAATATTTCGTTAAGGCAGCAATTGTACAACGACGATCACTTAAACCCTATTTGCTACATAGCAATCATCTAAAAGCTTCCTCACTATTATTTAATCGTTAAAATACATCAGATGATCGTCTGCTGTGTCAAAAAAGTCTTTTTTGTGCCTAACTTGTCATATACATCACGTATGAAATAAGAATAAGAGACAAATATTTAAACACATCTTTAAGATAATTTTTTTTCATGTTGCAACAAACAATCCGCTTTATTTAGCCTGCGAGAAGGCACTCACTATAAAGGCTTCAATACGAGTTACTTCCACCGTGAATAAGTTTGAGACTTCGAGTAACACGACTCGGGGGCGAAGGAACGCCGTGCTGCAGTGCTGATAATGAAACCTGAAACCATCGAAGGCCGATGTTTATACAACCTTGTTTTATTAATATAGGCTGTCAATCAAATTTCAATATCATTTGTGTAAGGTTGAACCTTGAATCGTTATCAGCCTCAGCAAGCTGAAAATAAAAGTTTAAGCTAAGGATGTCAAACCTATGACAATCAGTCCAGTAATTTGAATTTGTACAACGATTCAAAATTAATGCACGGCTACAGATGATTTATTTAGGACATTTGAATGGAACTGTGTAATTAGTAACGTTTTGTGGCTCTTTTACCTCCATTTCGTCTCCGACAAAAGAAGAACGAAACTAAAAAAAGCAAGAAATTACGTGTTCAAACAATTTTTCGCCGTTTCTTTTACATTCTTTATTTGTTCTCCCCCTTGCGCCAAACACATTTAAGTGATTGTCCTGGAAAAATTATAAAACAAAGTTCGTCTAAATTTTTCTTTGCTAACGTCTCGTCTGCGTAAAGAGAAGAAAAATAGTTTGGTTTCTAGCAAGCTTTCATGTATACAGCAGTGACTGAATTCTTCATGTCGTAATTCCCCTGGGCGACTAGTCATTCTCCTCCAGTAACCAGAGTTATATGGCTATGCTTAAGGGAAAATGATTATCTATTGATCGAGAACGAAAATGAAGGAATGGATACTTAAAAACTATCAACACTAGATAAAAATATTTAACAATTATTTGCCAAAGATGAAGTGAATATTGTTGAATAATTCCCGAGAGGAAGTCGAGGTTAAAACCTACACCTAGTTAAACCTACGTTAACAGCATTTATTATTTGTGAACCTAAGATCACTCTTGGTTGCTTGTTCAGCAACTCCAGCGTATCTTTCCAGC